ACAGGTGGGGCCACAGTTCTTGAGCTCAGTGGTCATGTATCCACTGGGCGCGAGAGGAGGCCGCTGTCCGTACGGATTTTCGCCCGTGTGCTCAAGCCCGAGCCGGCGCGGTTGGCGGGATCCATTGGAGGACGTCTCTGCCGGGCTGCGTGCCACAGGAATGACTCCGGTCCAGTCGTGCTTCATGGGCACGTGATGGAACTGAGCAGTGTCCTGGGCTCCATTGAGGCCGTTCTGGATCTTGGGGAAGTTGCGGTTGGAGTCGAGTAAAAAGTCGAGGCCGAGCTTCTCAGGGCCGAGATCCAGGTTGTGCCGGAGGTTGTGGCGCTGCTGGTTCAGCATCTTGCCCCGTGCTTGCTGGTCTGCCGAGTCGACGTGCCAGTTGGGATGGTGGTCGACAGAGCCTGGAGAGTGGGCGCTCCCAGGAGTGGACGAAGTGTGGACGGAAACGGGAGGGTTTGCATGCTGCGCAGGAGCATAACTCTGAGCCGTCGGCGAGCTGTATGTCTGCTCCGGTGGTGGCGGGCCGGATGGCGAGGTCAGGAGAGGCTGGATCAACGACATCATGGTCGCCAGGCGTCGTTTGATATCGGCATTCTCAGCCTCTACAGCCTCCTTGGCTCGGACGGCGGCTTGAAGATCTTGGTACGGCTGCTGGGATGTGAGCTCCTGGATCTTTTTCTCCAGGTTCTCAATCTGGTTCTTGGTCCGCTCACGGATAGCCCTTTGAGCTTCTCGATCTAATTCATACGTAGAAACACAGGTCAGCTGCCGTCGCAGGATGGTTTGGGGGGGGGTGTTCTGCGCAACAGGGGCGCCCAAATAAAAGGCAACCAAAGACCTGCAAAAAGGCCACCTGGCATTACCGTTGGCTTGCTTCTTGGCCCACTTGGCCGGGGTCCGGTTGGCCCCGCCCGAGAACCAGGTCCAATTTCGGCGCTTTTTTGGCCGAGTCCGCCTGGGGGCCGCCGGGGTCCTCGGCATCGGGACTGGCGGCGGAGGGGCTGGGCCCGTCGACCGGCGCGGTGCGCTTGTGGCTAGGGAGGGAGGTCAAGTTGGAGAGTCGCTGACGAGGCCACAGAAGCGGCAGAGCTGGGCTGGCTCGCTGCATCGGATGCCATCGAGGCATTCCCAATGGGAGGAACCGACCAGAAGAACGAAAGAGAGGAAGCAGGGCCAGGGTTTGGGGCGGGCGATCTGGCTTGGCTAACAGCCAAGCTGGCAGGATGGGCGAGCAACAGACACACAGGCCGGGCCGAGGTGAAAGGTGGAGTGATCGGTCCTCTGTCTATCTCTCTCCAAGACGGCCCATGTATTATCGGTCGAGATCCGTGGTGGGTATGCTGGGTGGTCGCGGACCGGTGGGTAGAGCCGCCGCAGCGGGGACGTTTGTGTGGGTAATGCCAGCGCAAAAGACCCAGGCTAGAGGGCCGAGGAGGATCTTTTCGTCCGGCCTTTCACTGCTTTTCGCCTCAGCCGTTGGACGCCTGTTCCCCTCCCACGCCCACTCCTGCTCCTACTCCGGCCGGTGCCTGGGTCACTCGTCTGCCGGTCCCCCACTTGTTATCGGTCTCGCACAAGAAAGGAGCGAGACTGTTCGGATCGATCGGGGTTGGTTCGTGGTCCGCCGTTCGTGGTTCGTTCGTACAAGGGTAGGGGCGCAGTGTGCGTGTGATGGGCTGACAGACGCTGGTCTGCGCATCTGCGCTGAGGCGAGAAGGGAAAAGCGAACAAGTTCTGGCCTGCTGCGGGTGGGGGGCTGGCCTATGAGAGAGCGTCTGATGAATCAGGGCGGCTGAGTCCCATTCGTTCTCAGCCTTGTCGCC